ATATATATATATATATATTTGAACTTGACTAATTGATTAATATTGAATGAGGTAGTGTTTAATATCCTTGGTAAATTTTGATTTAGTTATTTTTAGTTTATGAATAACATTTTGACTGGATTTGGATCCTCAACTTTTGTTAACATTTTTCTATTCTTGCCATCAAGTATTTTTGTTAAGTGATAATGTTACAACCATGTTGATAGGCACATCACCTGTTACGTCATTAACTAGTCTAATGTGTCAATTACAAGTAATTTTTGTTTTTAAAAATTATGTTCAATCTATCATCTTTTCATGAAATTCAATCTTAGTCTCTCAACAATTTTTTTAATTTGTCTATGTCCTTTGTCTATTTTATGTAATGCACTTTCAATCTCAACAATTTTTTTTTTTTTTTGACAAATCTTAGTCTTTCAACTATTATTCATCATTATAGCAATCACTCAACTTAGTCATCTAACAAGTATCACATCAAAGTGATGAAGTGATAATCATGTGACTTATCATTTGGACTACTAATTTGATTTAACAATCACATGATAAATGGTGCTACATTGAAACCTAATGTTGTCTTGTTGTTTCCCGCTTTTGCCGTTATTGTCACTTTGTGTTGTGAACATTGTTTCTCGTGAAACAAAATCATTTAGGAAAAAAAAATTAAGATGCACGAGTTTATTGCTAAATATTTTTTGAGAAGTGGGGTCAATGATTGGAATTTTAAAGGGTTTAAAAATTGAAGTTCTTTAGGTTTGGTACTTAAAGTTTTGATTATGGGTTTAATAGTTTATGATTTTGATTATTCTTGTTGATTTTGCTTACCATGAGTTATTGATTTTGTGTTTTGGATTATGATTCATTGGATTGTAGATTTGTGTATTGAGAATTGTTGATTTAGCTTACTATATCGTCTTATTTTCAAATTCATTTTTTTGACAATAGTTTTCATATCTTCATTCAACAATGATACTTTATAGAAAGAAATATTTTAGTTTAGAAATAGGGTTTTAGTAAATTATACGTGTCAGTTTTAAGCACTAATAAATATTGGAAGGGATTATCAATGAAACAAAACAACTCTATTAAGAAAAATACATGAAACTAGTGTTGTGAAAACTGGATCGGGTCAATCCAATTAAGAACCGATGATTATACTAAATCAATTTGCTCATCAAACCAGATATGTAGTTGATTTAGACCAAAGCCATCAATTTTTGCAAAGAAAATTGGTGAACTAATATGGATTATAAACATTAATTAAAAAAAAAAAGCTTAATTTTTTTTTAAATAACAGCATTTAGACCTTGCAAACGTTGTATTTATTTATTCTGAACTTATTTATGGAGTTGAATCAATAACTTTTAGTTAATTGTTTATGAATTTTGTTATTGAGAACTTCATGTTTATGAACTTTATTATTATAAATTTTAATTTAATTATTATTTTAGATATTAAGTACTTTTTAAATTTGAAATATGAAATTATCATAAACTTTTAAGCGATTTTTTCTTTTTAAAAGGTCTAATTGATTAGCAACTTTCTAGATAGAGCTCTAATTGATTGCTGTGATCTTAATAGCTTATGTGATAATAAGCGATACAACCACGAAGATGGTTTAATCGATTAGTTAGGAACATCAAATATCTAGTGCACGATTATAAATGCTCTGATTTTATAAGACGACTATTTGGTTTGTTTTTTTTCACAACAAAACAAATGCACGATTCACCCACCATTAACTCATGCATCCTCACGGTACAAGTTTCATTATAAAAATCGAACAGGTTATCGAACCAGTTTAAATAATAACTAGAGAGCAACTTGTTAAATCGGTTGATCTTAAAAAAATTAAAAAATTATATAATTAACATAATTTAAGATATTATATTGTTGGAATTTTTTTAAAAGAAAAGTTTAGATATCGTGATTGCATTGCTCATCAACGGGTTCTGACAACAAGCTGATGCAGGATGATAGACTCATTCATTTTGCCCACATGGTTTTTCATTATTTCAAAGGCCTTAGAATTGGTTTTCAAACCGACCCAGAATTTAGAGGATTATTTTTGCCAATGGGTTAGATCAGGTATTTTGGATGCTGAAATAAGTAAAAATCTTTACAATATTGTTTGACACAACACACAAGTAATGACAGCTTGTATCTTTTATCCAAATTGTTTAGATTGAAATCCTGACTTGTATGAGATAAACCATATTGAAAAGGGAATAATTATCTTGTATTCGCTAAAGACTAAGAAAAAAAAGACGAATTGACCATCCTCACCTCAAAATACCTCCTTCCCCATCCAGTTTCCATGAGCAACATCTACAAGATTTGGAACGTATCCATGTGATCTCAACAGAATCGTCAATCCCTTCAATGTCCTATATATGCTCTCAGTCTCAGGATGTCTCTCATCCAAGGAATAGAACTCCACCACACTATCATTACACCCAATAACACTACATCCCGGCAACTTCTTGAACCCGGTATCCCTCATCGCCATCTTCAACCGTGCAACATCTTGCCATCTTCCAAGATCCTTGTATACGTTCGAAAGCATGACAAAGTTTGCAGGGTTTTGAGGTTCAAGTTCAATGAGCCGCTGCAGAGCCAGTTCTGCTACTTCCACATTCTTGTATATCCTACACGCCCCAAGCAGCGCAGCCCATATAACTGCATCTGGTTCCATAGGCATCTTCCTCACAAAATCCACAGCCTGGCCTATAAGACCAGCTCTTCCCAGCAAATCCACCATGCACCCATAATGCTCAATCTGAGGCACAATTGAGTAGTCATCAACCATCGATTGAAAATGCAAAAACCCATCTTTCACCAACCCCATGTGAGTACAAGCAGACAAAATCCCCACAAAAGTAACACCATCGGGCTTCTCTCCCGCACCCTTCATCTCCTCAAACAATCTCAAAGCATCAGAAGCATAACCATGCATGGCAAGCCCATTAATTATAGTATTCCACGTTATTATATCCTTCACATCCAAGCAATTAAACACGTCAACCGCACTCACTATAACCCCACATTTCGCATACATGTCAATCAAAGCATTCCCAACAAACAAATTCCCTTTATACCCAACACTCTCTGCATAAACATGCACCCACTTACCCATCTCAAGATCCCCCAATCTCGAACACGCGGAAAGCACCGCCACAAGAGTGTAATCATTAGGAACCACCCCACCACCACCACCACCACCACCTTCTTCCACCATCACCAACATCCGTTTAAAAGCCTCCAAAGCTTCTTTATAAAGCCCATTCCGAACGTACCCTCCAATTAAACCATTCCAAGAATAGACATTTCTCTCAGGCATTTCTTCAAACAGCTTCTCGAACGACTCAACCTCGCCATTATTCGCGTAACCATTCAACACGGTGTTCCACGACATGACATCACGGTTCGGCATCTCGTCAAAGAGCTTCCTCGCCGCCGCCATGTCCCCCAATTCAATGTACCCCGAAACGACGGTGTTCCACAGAACGACGTCGCGCAGCGGCGCGACGTCGAAAAGCCTCCGCGCGGAAACCATGTCGCGGCACGACACGTGTGCAGCAACGATAGCAGTCCAAGCGAAAACATTCTTCTCACGCATCTCAGCAAACACCTTGCGGGCATCGCCGAGAGACAGAGACCCTCTAGCCGAATACATGTGAATCAACGCGGTTCCGACAAAGGGATTAGACTTAAAGCCGCGTTTGGCTACTACGCAGTGGAGTTGTTCACCTTCGCTTATCGCGTTGGCGTTTGCGCAAGACTTGATGACCATGGGGAACGTGAATGCGTTGGGCGGCGTTTGGGCGCGGTGCATTTGGGCGAAGAGAAGGACGACGTCGTTGTGGGAGTGGGCACGGAAGAGGGCGTTCCACGTGGCGGTGTTTGGTTGGGGGGTGGTGTGGAAGAGTGTTCGGGCGTGGCGCGTGAGGGTGAGGCGCGTGCAGGCGGTGATGAGAGTGGGGGTGACGTAATCGTTGGGGTGGAGGCCATGGGTGAGGATTTGGGCTTGGATCTGGTGGAGGCGCGTGCAGCTTCTACATGACCGTAACAGGGAAATGAACTTCTCTTCTAAAACTCTCTGCAGAGGCAAAGCTATTTTGGTTTCTAATGGTGCGGCTTGCATTAATTTGTGGCCGTAGATTGTGTTCTTAAAAACATCGAGTGACGACGAATGGGTTGTGCTTGTGAAAGTGTAACATTGTTACCTCGTACACACGCGTGTGTAAGTGTAAGACTTGGATTCTGATTTCTGCACACAATTTTATGAGATGCTCTGATTAATATCATGTCACTAGATTTGAATTTTGTAATGGTGGTGTTTGGTTTTCATTGGGAGAGAAAAAAATATGGAAGTTTTTTCTTATATATTTTTTTGTTTAGTTGCCCAGTGCTACCAACAAAATAAACACACCTATTTTCCACGGCATGGTCTAGATAGGATGAATTCTACAACTTTGGGTGGGTCTTGATCTTGATGTTAACTGTACTGCAAAATCCTCTCCTTGCGTGATCAAATTTGTGACCTCAAATGTCGTTTACTCGCCTAGTCACGTGTTTGGAATTCAAACAACAATCAAGCATAACTTCTACTAAATTTAATACCAAGGTAACAAAATGATTGGTCTTACCTCTTTTCCTTACCAAAACAATACTTTTCCACTTTCTCTTTGCACTGTTTTCTCCCACCTTTCTGATAACAATGATCGGTCTTCTCATTTGTGTGACTATTAATATGATTAGGGGATGATGATGACAGATCTTGTTCACTTTTTGTTTTTTTCTTTCTAATTCAGCAAAATTGAGGTCATTTTTCAAATAATATATCTTAATAGAGTTGATTTTAAGGCGATTGAATGAAGAATTGTCTCTCATGGTTCTGGAGAAGTAAAGTCTGCCACGATGGTTAAATGTTTTTTAATTATTTATTTAAATTATTATGAAATTACCATAAGTCCTTGTTTTAAAATATTTTCTTAACAGAGTAAATTCAATACACGTCCGTCTCCTTTGATCCCCTACTCAATCCCATAGTTTGATGGATGACATAGGACTTTGCTCCAATTTTGAAAGTTTTCAAGCTCTTTAATTTCACAATCAAATAAAAATATTATTTTTTTACATCTGGTCTGATTCAAAAAGGAGAGAACAAAAATGTCCCAAGAAATTTTAAGACCAAAGTATCCACGTTGTTTCACCAAAAAGTTCCAAAAATGCTTCATGTATATTTGGGATCTTCATCTTCATTCTATGATGCATTTTTGTGGTTTGGATTCCTATAGCAAATGAAGCACAAAACCCTCACTCTTACAACGATGTTATCACTTCCCAAAGCACAGACCTATGAGCATTATGGACATCGGTTCTAGATCTAGTCCATGTGCTGACCAAGTGAATATATGGTTCTAAAACAAGTGTTTGACAAACTTATCATTTAATATTTTGCGACCAACACAAATGTGCAGTTCAGCAGAATCAAGTGTGGCTTCTTGCGATGTCAAAAGTGTCCATAGAGGGAATGACTGATGGTATGAATGAACTGTTTAGGGACAAAATAGACATTGACAAATATAAAAAGAATAATATAAATATTCACTTATTTTTACAATATGATTCATGTTTGTTTTTTTAAAATATATCTAATGGTGTTAAATTTTAGTTCACTTGTGGACCACCATATGTCACAAAACTATTATCTAGCTTGTTCACGCATAAACACTTCGATAGAATTCGTCTGATTTTAGACTATTTGCTAGAGTCAGTCGCATATGCTTAATTTCATCCTTAACAATTGACATTCAAATATTAATCACACAAGGAGTTATTTCAAAACCAATAACATATGTTATTGACAAATATATCTTGACAACATATATCCACACCAAACTAAAATATTACAATCAATTCAACAAAACTATTATTTCGCATATTAAACTACATCACTACAAATTGTAAATAACCTTAAAAGAGAAATTATGATAATTTTTCAAGACACTAGTGGGAAATTTTTTTTTAAAATTAGTTATTTTGTATTTTTAAAATTAATTTTTTAATCAATTTTAAAAGAGTCAATTTTAAAAGTTGAACTTTTAAAATCGGTTATTAACACTTTTAAGATCGATTATTTTATAACCGATCTTAAAAGTTTACCTTTTAAGATCGATTATTTTATAATCAATTTTAAAAGTTAGGCAAAATACCTAATTTGGTCCCTTATAATAATTATTAGTTTCAATTTCGTTCCTCTATAATTTTTTGTTTCAATTTGGTCCCCAATAATTTAAAAAATGTCAATTTGGGACTTTCCGTCCAAATTTCACAAACGATGTTAAATGTGATGACGTGGATGTCACGTAGATGCATAGGTGGCATGCCTCCTCACCCACTTTTTTAATGATCTGGAACGGCCCGTTCTGAAACCAGAACGGCTCGTTCCGCTTGCATTATTTATGTGTTAATTTTTCATCTAGAATGGTCCAAGGATTGTTCTTGATTTCTTAGTTCTCTCCCTATTGAAATTTTGACAGGGACAAATTGTGAACCATGATTGATTTTCTTTAGACTTTTTAATATAGAGTATCGTCTCAATTTGGAGAAATTCAATGGTATCTTTGAATTTCAAACCATAGGGGAAAAACAACCCAAGATCATTTAATCCATACATGTTTTGGGGATTGTAACAAGTTATACATAATGGGAGGCTGGTAAATGTAATTCATCTACATTTCGTCACTCTTCCATTAGAATTATGCATAAGTTTATTGCATCTACTGTTCTAGGTTATTGCGTCTCAGACAATAAATTACACCTAACTAATTTATTATTTATGAAAAATAGGGATAAGAAGATCAACTCTGGTGCATATTTTAATATTTAAATTTATGTTATGTTATGAATTTTTGTTTTTAATCTTTGAACCACATTGCTGTATTTTGTTGAAATGTAACACTTAAATTTAAACATCATTCAATGCTCCTTTAATGTAACACTTAAATTTAAATTTAAATAAAATCCCGGTTGGCGTCCTGGAACGACTCGTTCTAAAACCAGAACAGCCCGTTCCAAAACCAGAACGGCCCTTTCCAAAACCAGAACGGCCCGTTCTGAAACCAGAATGGCCCGTTATGATGCACTCGTTGTGTGTTACATTTGCATCTGGAACGGTCCGCTTTAGATACAAAATTAACACACACCGAGTGGGATCAGAACTGCCCATTCCAGCTGCATTAAAGAAGGAGTATGGGACCTTGCCACCTGTGTATCTACGTGGCATCCACGTCATCTACATACATTTAACACCATTTGTGAAATTTGGACGGAAAGTCCCACATTGACATTTTTTAAATTATTGGAGACCAAATTGAAACAAAAAATTATAGAGAGACGAAATTGAAACTATTAATTATTATAAGGGACCAAATTAGGTGTTTTACCTAAAAGTTAAGATTTTTAAGATTGGTTATTTCACAATCAATCTTAAAAGTGATGCAGTTTTTTCTTAAATATCTGGTTTGTTTTTAGAATGCCTCAGAACAAAACCTACAATTTAATAAGTATGAGAAAATTCATATGTTTTCAATTAATCAAAATGTCTACATTTTCTATGTTGTTTTTTAATTAACCAAATTACATATAAATGAGAAAAAATGACAAATATCAACTTTATATATAATCAAAAAGTTTCAAATACATGTAATTCATAAATGTGACTCATTGTTCAGTGAAACATAAGTTCTAGCTAGTTAATGCATTACTATAAAATATAAGTTCTAACTAGTCAATATAATGGTTAATAAAAAATGTGACTCATTGCTTCCAAATGGTGTTTATGTCTTCTAGTAGCTATGATGTTCGATCTATAAATAACTGCTAAAAAAATTAGAACAATTAGTAATAACTCATTAAACATATAAAATGAAAACTTAAAATAAGAACTTTCTAAATTGTAAAACTTACTTTAGTCCATCAAGATACTATTTGTGAATCGACAATAATATGCATCGTCTTCATTGCATAATATTTACACTCATAGCTTCTATTTTGTTTATCAAACTACAAAAAAATATAAAATTAATTTCAATAATAATGATAATTCAAAACACTAAATTACTAGATAATATAATAATTTTTTTTTAAAAATAAACTGACATATAACTAAAAATATTTTTAACTCTATCTCAATACTTAAGATGGGTTTATCAATTTTAATAAAAATAATAATCAAAACCACTTATATCAATCAATTTAAGTGCCATATTAATTGTACCAATATTTTGATTCACAAATCTCCCAATTAAATGTATGGTTCCGCATTGGGTTCCACTAATCCTACCTATAAAATTCTATTCCAAACTCAAGTCCAGCCACATATATATAACTATGTAGATATATGCACACCCAAAATGTATTACAAATTCTATCAAATTTGAATTGATTTGAGAAACGGATTTTGATCTTTATTAAATCATTCTGATATATGCTAGAAAATTAATTCGAACGTTATTCATTCTTTCTTTCTCTTTCAAACGTTTTTCCTTTTTTACCAATATATAATATAATGCTTTAAATAACTCCTAATTATAAACTAATTATGGCAATTATGAATGGCACAAACCCATAATTTTCACTAGTACAAAAGAGGTAATTTATGTCAGTTATTTTAAGTTTTTTACGTCAGAAAAAGGTTCGACATTAATCCGGGAGACTTAAATTTACGTCGGTTGTGATGACCGACTTAAATTTACGTCGGACATTCCCAAGAGCCAACGTAAAAAAGTTGTAAACAAAAAAAAAACATGACAAATGCAAGCAAAACGGGCTATTCTGCTAGGAGAACGGGTTGTTCTACTTGGAGAACGGGCCATTCTGCTTGGAGAACAGGTCGTTCTGCTTGCAAAATGGGTCGTTCTAGATGCAAAATCAAAATCCTCTACACGAAACAAACTTACAAACTTAAGAATCAGGCGAGTTACATACCTTACCTATATATGCTCCATATCCTGAATAATCATAGCTAAAAGCATAGAACAAAATTGAAAGAAACTAAATAAACATAAAACTAAATATATCATGCATTAGTGTAGACTTTAGAAACAAAGTAAAAAAGCAAGAAATTTTGGTGTTGGTGTGTTACTTCTAATGAAACCGAAACCGAAAAAGGAAAGTGAAAAGTGGCAGAAAATAAATCCGACCTAAGCGGTTGAGCTTCTTCTTCTTCTTCTTTCTTTCACACTATTTCACATGTCTCTTGTTTTCAAATACTGACGTGCGCGGGAAGATTAATGGACCTTTTTACGTCGGACATAAGGGGGTCCGACGTAAAATGTAAAATCTATATCGGATGTAGATTTTACATTTTACGTCGGATCCCCTTATGTCCGACGTAAAAAAGTTCACAAAAATTATAAAAATGCTACCGCATCTTTTTTATATCAATTTTTGATATGTCCGACGACAAAGAGGTG